TTTGGTTATCTTCTTCAGACTGAAGTTTTATTTCTGGCTCCTTCCATAGGGCTGGATTTATAGACAGATACTACTTCTAATTTGGTTCTGTCTTATAATGCCTTTCTTTTTCCATGTATTGTGATTGGACATTTTGCTGACTATGGTCTGATTTGGCCTCTGTGGTCTCTTAGAGCATCTGTTCATGTCCTTCTGACTTTCAGAGTTTCAATTGAGATGTCAGGTCTTATTCTTATAGGTCTTCATATTTTGCTTGGTCCTTTTCCCTTGCAACTTTTTTTTAAAATAGATTTTGCCTCAGAAAGTTTATTTGTGAGAACAGCATAGAGCACAGGCCATCTTCAAATAGTGTGCAGGTATGCCGCACCATTCTGTCTTCACATTGGCACATAGAAACCTTTCCTGTGGGGCCTTCACAAAGGTCCCAGACAACTTTGGGAGCCTGAGCTGGAGCTGCAGTCTGGGCCTGAACTGGAGCTGAGACCTCTGTTTTGATTTGAACTTTGGGCTTTGGTGTCTGGGTTTACAACTCTTGGGCATGTAGCCTAGAAACTGATTCCCAAGCTTGGGATGAGTGATGAAAGCAAGAAGGCTCAATTTGTGGTTGGGTCCTTTTGGCAGCTTGGATTCAACCACCTTAGGCTTCACACGGGCCTGCAAGGCCTCTGCATGAGCACTTATTGCCTTTGTATTCTTTAGGCTTTTTTTGTTGTACTTCTTGGCAAAGTACATGTTCTTCAGGAGCTTGGGGTCAACCCTGTCAGCTTTTCAACTGACCCGAACCGATCTTGTCTGCTGGACCCAGGATCCGAGGACCTTAAAGAATGCTGCGAACTACAGTCCTATGCTGTAGACACCCTTACTTCAGTTACAGTGCACTGTAAGCTGTGCAGGAATGAAACAAAGAAAGCAATGATCTAAGGGAAGGTTGTTTGAGCTCAGAAAAACATGATCAGAAAAATATGTATGTAAATACCAGTAAGCACTTAATAAATATGAACAGGCTACCTTTTCCCAGAACTTTCTCAGGACAGACCAACTTAACCACAATTGCCTGGCACGTACTATAGATTACATCTGGGAAAGCAAGAAAGCAAGGCAGAAGACCATATCCAGATTCTGGGTACACTGATCAGATTGGGTTCTGTAGCTGTGGTCTGACATCCAACAAGAATAAACATGTATTATAAATTAAATGTAAATGTTTGTCACAAGAGGCATGCATCTGAGGTAAAAGCCCCCTCCCTTCCCCAAGGCATTGTTCACCATGGTTCATTCTTTTGATCATGTTTCAACCCCCTCTTAAGATAATAGCATCTTTATGACCAGGGTTTTTTGATGCTGTTTTCAGGATTTGTTGTATGTTCTTGGACTTGGTCATGTCTGAAAGGTAACCTGTGGCCCTGGAAGAGCCTGGGATCAGAAGAGAAAGAGAAAGGCTACCCCTTGCAGCTTTTAATAGGTCCCCAGACCCCACACTGTGTTTGTTTTGTTTGTATATTTGGTGTTTCAATTATATACTGAGGGGAATTTCTTTTCTGGTCCCGTCTATTTGGTGCTCTGTATGTTTCTTGTACCTTGATAGGCATCTCCTTTTGATTAGGGAAGTTTTCTTCTATGATTTTATTGAAAATATTTTTTGTGCCTCTGACCTGGGTTTCTTCCCCTTCCAGTGTTCCTGTTATTTGTAGATTTGATCTTTTCATTGTGTGCCAGGTTTTCTGAATGTTTTGTGACTGTATTTTTTTGGATTTAACATTTTCTTTGACAAAGCTTTCCATTTCTCCTATCTTGTCTTCAAAGCCTATGATTTTCTCTTCCATCTCTTATATTCTGTTGGCGAGGCTTTCTTAGGAGTTTCTGGTCGAGTTCCTAAGTTTTTCATTTCCAGAGTTCCCTCCATTTTTTTTAGTTGATTTCTATTTCCACTTTCAGGTCTTGACCATTTCTTTTTATTTCCTTCCACTGCTTGTTTGTGTTTTCATAGTTTTTAAAAAGGGATTTATTCATTTTCTCTTTAAGGACCTCTATTATATTCATAAAGGTTTTTTTAAGGTCTTTGTCTTGTGCTTCAACTATGTTTCCTTTCTCAGGACCTACTTTGGAAGGGTTGCTGGCCTTTAGTGGAGACATTGTTCTGGTTGTTACTGGTCGTGTTTTCATGCTGGTGTCTAGGCTTCTGAGTATGGGATGATTGCAATTCTAGGTGTTGATATCAGGTTTTGCCTTTTTTGTGTGGGTGTTTTGTTCCTTGGTTTCCTGTTGCCTTGTCTATTTTTAGGAAGGTATTGCCTGGTAGGGAATTATTCTAGGACCATGTTAGGTGTGACCACTGAGTGTTTGGAGTTTCTGGGTCTTGAGAGTTGATATTTAGGAATTGGTATGCAGTAAAAGATGGGGAGTGCTGAGGCTGAGGGGAGTATAAAGGAGGGAGGGTTCCCTGGAATCAGGGTAGAGAGTGAGAAGAGGCCAGAGCAGGTGCTTGCTACAAAGCCAGGCATGAGATTGGGAGATTGAATTTGGAGGAGAGGAAGTGAAGATCTGAGCTAGCCAACCAGCTCAGCTGGTCTTTTTGCTTCTCTGGAAGCCTGGGCTGGTGTGTTCCCCTTAATGCCTGCTGGAACAAATGATTTCAGACTAACAGTGAGTATAGAAATTGTGGTGGGATAACACGTTTTGTATTGAGTTTGAAAACTGTATCTTAAGGACTGTCTTTCCTTTCTTCCTTCCTTCCTATCTTTCTTTCTTTCTTTTTTCTTCTTTTTTTTTAATAAGGCATGGTTGAATTGCTATCTGAAAATGAGGGCTTGAGCCCTTAAGTAAGTTAATTAATATTTTTGATTTTCATGTCCCTAAATGGAAAATTTCAGAGGTATCACATATTTATGCAGAGTTTTCTAGACTCCCACACAAAGCATCAACAGGCTTACTGTGAACCTGTGCAGCCTTTCCTCCCTTGACAGACTATATCCTAAGCCTTTGGACAACTCTGGTCTTGGACTTCTCTGTTCATTGTGGTCTCTATTGTGTTTCCCATGCCCCTGCATTCTTTCTTGTTTTCCCTTATTTCACTGAAGCCAGGAAAAAGAATTTGTGAACCCTGGAATGGCCGAGCATGGTGTTTCTCTACCCTCATACTCCATCAGTGGCCTCCTTACCTCTGATTGGAAGGCATTCATCATCTCGCTTGCAGGGTCTCTACTGAGGAGTTGGTAACATTTGTAGTTGGTCTGGAGTCTTACCTCTTTATCTTCTTGGAAACACCGATTTTGTTTTTTCTATTCCTATTCTTTAATGTCACAGAGACTGAAGCATGGCTTCCTCACTTCCTGTGTCATCACATTCTGAGTCAGAAGACTCAGCTCTGAAGAGGAGGGGTCATTCTGGGAATACTTTAAGCAGTGCTCTCTTTTCTTTCTTTGGGAGCCACCACTATTCATTGGCCAGATAGAGACTGGTGTTGTGGTGTCTTCTCTCTATTAGTTGTCCGTTTGTCTTTTTATTCTAGTACCCAGTGGATTTTCTTATGATGTTCTCTATCTTTCCATGTTTTGAGGTGTTTTCTCCCTCATCTTTTAGAATTTCTGAACCCCTCCCCCCACAGTTTCATTATCGCTGTGGGAGTATGGTGGCTCACAGGGTATGGAGTATATGTGAAGGTCACATAATTATCGCTGTGGGGGTGGGGTGGCTCAGGGACTATAGAGTATGTGAGGAGGTCACATGATTGTCACTGTGGGGGTGGAGTGGCTCAGGGGCTATGGAGTATATGAGGAGGTCACATGATAACTTTGTGAAGTCAGTTCTTCAGCCAATACTCTGTGATTCCAAGGATTGAACTCAGGTCCCTACAGGCTATCTTGTCTTCTCTCTTTCTTGTTTTCCAAGGGTACTTTTTAAAGGTTAGTTTACTAGCACCCCCTTTTATTCATCTCCTGAGAGGATAAAGGCACTTTGAAATTCTCCTCTGTAGTATGGTATGTTTTTGTCATGCTTTTTCATTTGTTCATTATAAACATACATTTGTCTTCATATATATCATGCTTAAGCTATTTAAAATATTATTAGTGTATATAACTAATGTATAGGAGTGTGGGTATGTGCATGACATGGTACACATGTGTATATCAGAGGGCAACTTTCTGGGGAGTCATTTCTGTTCCTTCTTTACGTGGGTTCCAGGAATTGAACCTAGACACCATGCTTGCATGGAAAGTGCTTTATCTAAGCACTGAGCTATCTCATTGACCCTAGGCTGTTCATTTGTATTGAAAGAGAAAGAAATAAACTGAATTAGAAAATAAGTGCTGTGAAGTACTAAGACTCTGCTTGAAAAATAAGCAAGTAAATAAATAATAGTAAATAGTATGCAAATACATAAAGAGTAGTTTTACATAGCAAAATTGATTTTAAATCATAATTGGTTTTGTTATTGAAAATCAATTTATTTTATGGATAAATTTTTAGGATGGACTTTATTTGTAATGATGGTTACATAGTTTCTAAAGAATTGTATACATTGTTCTGTTGCATTATGTATCAACTGGGTAATCTTTATAAAGAAATTCAAGTATTGCTATGTACTGCATAAGTCAATGATATACCACTGTGCAGTGGTGGTCCTGTGACATTGCTACCATCTTAATTTATGTAGATGCACTTTGGGATACTCACATGAAGGACACATTTCTTAAGGTCTCCCTTCTCTCCAATAAAGTGACATGTGACTGCAGTAGTACCTAGTTTTATAGTTAGCTCTTTTATACCCTCATACAGTGGTTGCTTTGACATAGGGTTAAGTCATTTTTGCAGCTGGAAGTGAGTATATTGCTATAATAATAGTAATACATTTTCTAGAATTGGTAAAGAAAACATGGCTAGTTCTTTTCTGTTCTCCAGGATCAATGCGTTTTAAAGATTATCAATTCACTTTTCATTTCCCTGCTTATTTATTGGTTCAAAACTTTAGGTGTTTTACATACCCACAAATTCTCTTCCAGTTACTTGCCATGGTTTGAAGTGTACTATAAGCTTCTCAACACTCTAGCAGATTACTTGGCAAAGGAACTGGTAAGCCGACTTCTTTCTCTATTGCTTTATTGTGTTAAAATATACATAGCATAGAAGGAGCAGTTGTGCTATTTCAAAGATTATAATTTTATGGTATTTATCATAGTCACATTATGACATACCTGGACAAACCCAAACTCTGTTCTCAATAAACAATATTTTACCATTTCCTTTCCTTTTCTCCCCTGGCATCCATCCTGATATCTATATTTGCCCTCTTAACTGAAGGTCCCCACACAGGTGGATGTCACGTTTGTCCTTGCTTGTGTCGCTTATTGTAGTGTTGAAGGTCCCAGTGCTGTGCCATCTGACAGAAATCTCGACCTTTTTAAAGCTGGCTGATATTCCACTGCATGAATACAGTACACGTTATTTCATCATTCATCTGGTAGTAGACATTTAAGCTGCATCTACCTTGTGTGTATTGTAAGACATCAGCATAGATGATTGTTTAGCTGCCTCTCTCATCAGACCCATTTATAGTTGGTGGTAGAGAGCTTTGCAGGCATATATGAAGCTCCTAGTTCAAACAAAACAACCTATTCTATTCTGGTAGTTACATTCAGGGTTTTTTTTTTGTTTGTTTGTTTTTTCATATACCTGGAGGTGTAAATACTGCATAGTGGGATAATTCTGTTTCATTATTTGAGGGAAGATACCTGCTATTTTCTGCTATGGCTTTGCATTGACATTAGCAATGTACAAGGATACTTTTAATTATTTGCTTCCTATATGTTTTAATTATTAAATGACCTTTGCTTTGTTTCAGGAAGATGATTTGAATGAAACTCTAAAATCACTCTATAACCAGCCAGTACCAAAGGCAAATATGCCTGTCAACTTGAGTGTGGTAAGGACTTTGTAACTTCTCTTTGGAGACCATCCTTTCTTACTTGGAACACATGCCTGTTCCAGGAGTCATTTGCCAAATTTCCATTTCTAGAAAATTTCAGTGACTGTGTTAACCTTGCTTAGTGCTAATGTCAAGACTTGTGACATGGTGTGATTCATATAACTTACATTTCATATTGTTATAGCTGTTAAATTGAAGAAATAAAGAGCTCTTAGGGACTAACAGTAACTAAATCTGTGGGAATATTTTGGTTGACCCACATGTACACTCACACACACAAACAGAGAGAGAGAGAGAGAGAGAGAGAGAGAGAGAGAGAGAGAGAGAGAGAGAGAGAGAGAGAGAGAGAGAGAGAGAGGAGAGACAGCCTCTCCTAAAATGAAGCGTGTTTCAGAAGAGAAAGTTGCATAGTAAAATGATTCCAGCTAAAATGTCCTTGTCTTTCCTTACATGTGAGTACCTTCCAGGTTAGTTATGAAACCCTGGAATGTGATCAGTGTTCGTGTGAACACACTCTTATGATGCTAATTTTCTGCTGAGCGTTAGTGACCTTTGCCATTTACATCTACTCAGTTTGATATACCAGGATTTGTATTGTGGGGGCTTGTAAATATCCAAAGTTGTAGATAAATGTGGAGGTTTTATTCATATCTTTTGTTAATTTTTTGGAAAATAGATTTATTTATTGATATTATCATTGTTTCCTGTGAACATATTGTTTTCTTTTACTCAAAAAAAGGAGAAAAAATTAATAGGACAATAAAAACTTTGAGGAAATTCAGCTTGAAATCTTTATTCATGTGAGGCCTTTCACAGTTTTGAGTTATCGTGAAATTGTTATGCTCATAATCTTTCTTTGGAGATAACTCATCGTGACTGTTATGTCCTGCACTGCATGGATAGCATGCTCTTATATTATTCCATTTCTGATGTCAGCCCTGTTTGTGCTCTCATTCAGACTTTTAGCAGTTCTACTTAAATATGTCTTCTAAAGACTGTCAGAGTAAACTCCCTTAAGATATTATTAGTTCTCTTTTACAAACAATTGTAACTCCTCACTTTGGTTGCAATGAAAAACATTTTAGTGGTGTTCTAGGCAACCACTCCACCATAGAGACACACCTCTGCCATCAACATCTTTTTATTTAACATTTTTTTCATAGTCTATTTGATCATATTTTTCTTTCTTCCAACTCCTCCCAGATCCTTCCCCACCTTTCTATCCCAACCAACTTCACATTCTTTCTCTCTCCAAAACAATAACAAAACTTAACCAACCATCCAACCAAGAAATAACACAAGTATAACAACAACAACAACAACAACAAAAATCCCCAAATAAAGCAAAACACACACAGTTGAAAGCCATGAAGTCTGTATTATGTTGACCAACTACACCTGGGCATGAAGATTGCTCTAAAATCTAGTTGATATACTCAGTGGCACTCTATTGAAGGAAACTAATTTTCTCTTTCCCGGTAGATATCAGTTGTAAACAGCTTCTTGGTTAGGAGTGGGACTTGGAGTCCATTTCTCTCTCTTAGTGGTGGCTCGTGTCTGGCTTGAACCTGTATAGGCCTTGAGCATGCTGTAAGTTCATATGTACATCAGTCATGTTGGGTCTGGAAGACACTGTTTACTTGGAGTCATCCGTCACCACTTACTGTACAGTCTTTCTGCTTCCTCTTCTGCATTGAGGGGAGGACTTTGATAAATACATTCCATTTAGTGCTGAGTGTTCCAAAGTCTCTCATTCACTGCAAATTTTCCAGTTGTAGATCTCCGTGTTAATTTATATTTATTACAAGAAGACTCTTCCCTGATGTGGTTATAGCAATATGTCCTTGGGAATCATTTTATTACTAAGTTATTTTTGCAGAATAATAGTATTAGGCTTTCACTAAGGAAAACCACTCCATGAGATGGACCTCTTCCTGACATTGCTGAAGTAGCAAAGAACCTTTAAAACTGTTTTTTGAGACAGAACAGTGCATGCTGGCTGTGAGCCTTACTGTGTAGCTCTGGCTGGCATCCAGTTTACAATTCTTCTGTTTAACCTCCCACATAGCCATACCTGACTGTAACTCCCCATTTTATGTAGACAATTTTCAAACTTTGGCATAGACTTTCAGGGTCATCAACTTAGCTTTACGCCATATTTTTTTTTCTTTCTGTATCACTGTTTTACCCCACTCTGGTCTTACTGTTGTAATCAACATCTGAAGTACTTCCTTTTCACTCTGAAGCCTGCTGTAGTCTGACTGGCTTTAGAACCTGCTGATTCCTTGTTCTGAACCTCTCACCGCACGATTGACCATGTTTGTTCCTTTTTGAAGTCTTTGCTACCTTCTCTGTGTTTTTGTTTGCTGAAAACTGTCACAGTAGATAGAATCATTTTTTTCCACCGGAGACTATGGAAAAGATAGCCCAGGAGAACTTGGAATTTTAAGCTCAAATTTGGAAGTCTTCAGCAGGCATAGGTGTTGCTATCTATACATTTTACTGGAAGCATAAAGGAAAAGCTCAGATATATTCTCCCAGACAGACTATTATGAAAAGAAAAGGAAATCATGTGACAACTAGGGAAAAGATCAGGTAGAGAAACTCAAGACTCACAGGTCATTGGATTCCAAATAACGCAGAGGCCATCATCAGTAGAGTGCTTTCGAGAGGTAGGGGAAGTGAAGGACATCAAAGGAGCCCTGGATTTAATGAAAAAAAAAAAGACATCATTCTTTTAAACTATTATATTTCTAAAGCAATACAGATACTTAGTGAAAGAGCTATGTACTCAATTAAACTATACACACTTGTTTAAGTAATGGAGGCAGCTGGTGTCAGATATTCCTAAGTAGTGACAGTGCTCTCCGGTAGTGACAGTGCACTCCAGTAGTGACAGTGCCCTTCAGTAATGACAGTGCCCTCCAGTAGTGACAGTGCCCTCCAGTAGTGACAGTGCCCTCCAGTAGTGACAGTGCCCTCCAGTAGTGACAGGCTCCAGTGCTTGCTGTTCTTGCAGAGCACCATTATTTTCCCAGCTCCCTGTAACTCTGGTAGTCAGGCATCTGATGCGTGCTTTGGACTCCACAGGCACACTCACACATGTGTGCATATATACAAACACACATCATATAAGTTTAAATAAATCTTTATAAAACGTATTATGTTCAAGTCTGTTATTTATTTTATCTTTTTGGTTTTGGTACTGAGAACTTTGCCATTCACTACTGATCTGTGTTCCACACTCTTATTTTCTGTGTTTGTTGATGGGGCATGCTGTGTTATCTCTCTGATTCTATGAGCGCAAGGTTTTTTTTTTTTTACTGAATATATGAGTGAAATCATGTGGTTATTTGTCTCTGTTTTATTTAGTGTAACATTCTTCAATTTAACCATATTATCACAAGTGACAAAATTTTACTTTTAGTAGCTATGTTTGTTTATGTGTATAAATAAAATTACTACTAGAATGTCTGTGCATTGGTGCAAGGCAAGAATGCTATTGTGACTGGGTGTTGGTGGCGCACGCCTTTAATCCCAGCACTCGGGAGGCAGAGGCAGGTGGATCTCTGTGATTTCGAGACCAAGCCTGGTCTATCGAGCGAGTTCTGGGACAGGCTCCAAAGCAATACAGAGAAACCCTGTCTCGAAAAAAAATAAAAAAAGAATGCTATTGTGTGCACACTCAAGAATGGGGTTGCTGCATCAATAGCCCAATTTTACTTTTACCTTTTGGAGAAGCCTCCATTTTGTTTGCTGTATTTCCATTTTCACCAGCAGTATTAGTGTTCTCCTTACAGTTACCTCAGCGATTTCTACTTTTCATCTGCTTGACAATATTTCCTGAACTAGCTTATTAGAGTTTCTATTTGTATTTCTCTAATGCTTGGTGATGTTAAACCCCTTTCTATGTACCTGTTGATCAGGTGGGCTTTTGAATTAACAGTCCATAATAGCGTTCAAATCTTGAGTACCTGTTTTCAAACTATAGTTATCTAATATACTAGTAAAATCCATTTATGGCTTTTATATGAAGTTCCATAATAATTATTTTGCTTTCAACAGCAGATTACTATGTTACCAGACCTACCTGTCCCATTACTGATTGGCAGTGTGGAAACTGGAGCACTTGTCCTGAACTAGCCTTGGAGACTAATTTTATCTCACAGATTGAAGCTGATGATCTTGGAAGTCTTTATTGGGAGGCTTGGAAGTGATTATTATCACTGGAATATTGCAGATTATATGAAAAGTTAATATGTAATATACGGGTTTTCTTTTTATAACTGTACTTGCAAAAAGATCATTAAATATCCACTGTCTTTGTACTCATAGTGCAAAACTTTGTGCAGAACATTTGCAGAACAGATCAGCAGGTCAGAATCTAGAATTTCCTGCATCACGAGTGTCATTAGTCTACTTTCAGTGCATAATGTAGCAACATGGGTTTGTCTCAGTACGCAGAAAAGTTTTTGTGTAAGCTTCCTCTTTGAAAGTAAAATGCTCATTCTTCTCTCATAAGAACCCAGAGCTATTTATTGCCAGTGAGCAAGTTCTGAAAGATCAGCCCTCACTGATGCCGGTGAGTGAACAGGGCCCTGACTTCTCAAATCACCATTCGACAATCACTGTGCCTTCTGATTTATTCACTCTGGTTCTTTGGAAAATGGGACTATTTAAAAATAATCATTTCAAAGTTTTCTGTTTATAATTTCTTTTTTCCTAATTTTATGAGCTGCAATAATGTGAAAAGCAATCCAAATAAAGCTGTTTAATAGACGTAAACCTGTATTTTCTCTTTTCTGTAGTATGCTGAAGTAGAGTTAGTACATGACATTTCTGTCACTTTTTTTTTTCTTGGTCACAGGATCATCTTGTGACTTAAACTGTCTTCCACTCTGGAAAATTATGCATTATGACTGTTCAACAGCCTCTTACTTGTTTGTCTCTGTTTAAATACTGCTGAAAGTTTCTGTTCCAATCTTTAGATATAAGACAATATTAAATATATTCCTATAATTAAGACATCAAATGATTTAGGAACATAATATGAACAGAAAAGAGAATAATTTGATGATCGCACTTTGATTTGGGTGAATAAAATGGGGGACTATTTTTGGGACACTGGGGTAGAGACTCATTATCCTTTTCATATAGATATCTAATGACATTGCTTTATTTGTTCTGAAAGTTAGTATGTTTCTATTGGTATATGAATAAGTTCATAGTTTTTTGGATAACAGATACATTTTTTGTTCAAGACAGAATTTCTCTGTGTTACCCTGGCTATTCTGGAGCTTGCTTTGTGGACAGGCTGGTCTCAAACTCACAGAGATCCACCTGCCTCTGCCTTCAGATTGCTGGGATTAAAGGTGTGTGCCCCCATTGCCTGGCAGCAAATAAATTTTTTAAAGATTTATTTATTTGTTTATTTATTATGTATACAGTGTTCTGCCTGCATGTATGCCTGCTGGCCAGAAGAAGGTACCAGGTCTCATTACAGATGGTTGTGAGCCACCATGTGGTTGCAGGGGATTGAACTCAGGACCTTTGGAAGAGCAGTCAATGCTCTTAACCTCTGAGCCATCTCTTCAGCCCCGCAAATACATTTTTAAGTTTTAATCTTTTAAAGGTTATCTTTTATTGTTTTCTAAGTAATATACTTGCTACAAAACAGTTATTATAGTTTATCATAGAACCCTAGGACTTAATAGATTTTACAGACTCTTTAGTTAGCGTGCTTTTATTTTTTTCAGTCTGCCTAAGTCTATATTGAGAATACATGTTCACAGGTATATTTAAATATGTATAACCTTTTGATAACATACTCTCTTTTGGTCTTAATACTTGTGCAGAATCTTATTCTGCTTCTGCCCAATTTCAGAATCTCTCTCTATTTTTTTTTAACATTGCCTCTGGTATGAGTTTTTAAATTTACCATTCATCTGAGATTCTGTCACGTTCAAGTTCATATTGGTAGTCAGTGGCATTCATCCGTGAGTGTTTTTTCTGATTTTTATCGCAAATGAAATGTGATTGTTTAATTCTTTTGTCCCTCTGTGCTTTTTTGTTGCTGCTTAGCACTCCTGTTTCATTGCCCCTGACGTGACTGGACTCCCGACGATACCGGAGAGTGTAAGTGTCTGTGATACCTCTAAAACTTTTTCATCATCCACACATTGCTTTGTTCTCACTGTGTCTCTGGAGAAAAAAGATGAGAAAGTAAGAGACCTCTCCCCTTCCTTTCCATGTATCTATTCCATTATTCCTTTCTTAATGCCTGGGCTGATGAGGAAAAGGAGGAAAGAATTTCTGCTACTGGGATGGTTCATTAGGGCTTCCCACACTCAGCTAGCTCTGGAGCTTGGCTGCCTGAAAAGGGCGGAGGTGTAGAGCTGTGACTTCTGCCAGGGGGAACAGTGATAACAGGAAAAAAACGTTCATTTTACAGTTACTTTAGTAAGCAGATCATTGAATTTTAGACTTCCTTTCTGTAACTTTGTTTAAATCATTAGTGTCCTGGTTGTTGATTTCCTGGTTTTAATTTAATGCAGTAGGCATTTTATTAGACTTGAAGATACTATAAGAAAGAGGTAATGATGATTGTTACATTGTTAATTGTAGCTATACTGGAAATACTTTGTGCTTCTCAAGAGTCATCTAAGTTAATACTTTCTGTTGGAAATTTCGTGGATAAGTGGAAATGGTGGATATACTTCCATGCCATCTGACAGCTGTGGGAAAAGGAAAATACCTTAGATCTTTAAAATCAACCAGTTATAAACCATCAAATCAAAGGAAAATCACTAGGAAGATTTCCTACAGGTATTCTTGAATGTATTTCAGATGAGCACAATTTTTCCATATCGTTTTCAAACCATTATAGCATTTACTTTCTCAAACACATGAATTGTTAGTGAAGGGCAACTATACATATGTGAATTTTACTTATGTTTGTGTGTGCGGCTGCTCATGTGTATGTATACATGTCTGCACGCATGTGAGGAGCCTGAGGAGCTGGAGGTCAGCTGTGGGTGTCCTCCTCTGTCATGCTCACCTTGTTCTGTGGGAAGGGCCGAAGCCAGAGCTTCCTGTCTTCCCTGAAGTTCACCTGCCTCACCTCTCCGGTGCTAGGATTACAGGAGTGTGCCCTTACATCCAGTCGTTTACCTGGGTGCTGAGGATCTCTCAACTCAGGTCTTCATGCTTGTGTGGCAAGGGCTTATCAGCTCAGTCATCTCCCAAGCCCCCAATTGTAAATTTTCTAATATCAAACTAAGACTAGCAAATTAAAATGTTTTAAAAGATCAATCCTATGAATTCCATTGAAAGAGCTTTTCAGAGAAGCCTATCAAAAGACTTTACATAAACTTGATTTTTACAATGTGGTTCAGGATAGACCATCCAAGCTCTCTGGGTCTTGTAATGAATCCCTGATCCTCATTCCTGGTGGGCACAGGCTCATGGATGCTTACTGGATTGCGGCTCAGATGTCCGTGACCCTGTCACTCGGAAGTCTCCTACATAGTTACTCTCCTCTTCTCAGATGTCCGTGACCCTGTCACTCGGAAGTCTCCTACATAGTTACTCTCCTCTTCTCAGATGTCCGTGACCCTGTCACTCGGAAGTCTCCTACATAGTTACTCTCCTCTTCTCAGATGTCCGTGACCCTGTCACTCGGAAGTCTCCTACATAGTTACTCTCCTCTTCTCTAGCTACCTCTGCTTACATTCACTTGAAAATAGCTAGAACTTTCCATTTTAGTTTTTAATTTTTATATATCAAGAAGTGGGGAGAGGGGGGGACAGGGAGCGAGGGAGAGGAAGACAGACTGGGTACAGAGGTCGGGGGAGAGAGAATATGAATAAATGAATCTGTGTAGGTTAGATGACAGTTTATAAGATTTGGCCCTCTCCTCCCCACCATCTGGTTTCCAGCGATTGAACTAGGTTGTCAGGTTTCTAGGCAGCAGCCTTTACCTGCTGAACTTTCTTGGGAGCTCTAGTTTTATCTTTCAAGACTATCACTTTCAAATATTTAAAGAAACAAACGTTCCATTGAAAACAGGTCACTAAGAACATAAAAAATAGCTTTATGTTATCACTGCATACCTTCCCATTGTCCTGTTGAGGGAAATCGAGTAGAAACACCCAGCAGTACTGTATGTTACAGGGCAATTCTCCACTTAGGGATGTCTTTACTGTAACAGAGTAACTCTGCTGCATGTTATAAAGGTAGAATTGAAATGGAGTTGAGTTGGGAGGTGAAGGAAGTCTCAGAGACAGTGGGAAGTGAGCCTCTCCCGACCAGGTTGAGCAGCTCACTGAGACTTCAGAGCATCTTGTAAAATCCCTGCCTTCTACAAGTTAGAGAAACAGGTAGATTTCTTATGTTCTTGCCCCTCCCAAGTTCAGCCTTTCAGATCTTTATCTACCCCACCCTACTTTCTGTGCATTAAAATATTTGCTTTCTAAAATGCTCAGGACTTATTTATTATTTATTTTTAAGCAGCAAGTTGAAAGTAATTACAGAGAACAGGACCTATGTAGCACCGTGAATGTAGCCAATCCCCATTTTGTTTTGTAGTAGAAGTCTAGTGTGTATTAAATTGAGGAGTCAATTTAGAACGTCACAGTTATATTTGATTACAGTAATAAAAATGAAGCCTGATGAAGCAAAGGATTATTTATAAGTCTGTGTTCTCCACTGGGTGCCTTGGGTACTGGAGAGAGAATGGGAAGCATGAAGTAATTCAAATATATTTTTCAAGAGCAGCAGTTTCGCAAACATCAGTGTATATGTGAATCACCAGGAGTGTTTGGTTAAAACTGGGACCCTTGAAACATGCCCTAAAGGTAACAATTCAGTAGGCTTTGGTTGAAGCTGGGGAAATTTGAAGTGTGGATAGGGACTGGGAAGTGTGGGATCCATCCTGTGGAAATCCTTTGAGAAATACTTGTATAGATAGGTTATGCTTTAAATGATGGTAGGATGCAGCATGTTGTGTGTTAGCAGAAGAGCATTGCATTTAATTATTATTAAAGAATGCCCCTTCTAATAATCTCCTTTTGAACTTGAAGACTGGTAAATGAGTAAGCTGTTTTCCCTCGTATTCCTGCGAACTGGAGCTCAAACAGTTCTTTTCCCTTGCACAGAGAAACCTGACAGAGTACTTCGTTGCTGTGGATGTGAACAACATGCTGCGATTGTACGCCAGCATGTTGCACGAGAGGCGCATCATTATTACCTCGAGCAAATTAAGCACTGTAAGTCCCTCACACTTTCTCCTTTGACTAACACATCTTGAGTGCTTCACAAAGAGACCTAGAAACGTCTGCAGATTTAGAGCTGCATTACATGTACTTAAAAAGACAATATCTACATATTTTTAATATATGGTGTTATCTGACTCTTGAAGTATAAAAGTCTGATTGATAGAGCCCTTCCTAGATGCATTAAGTCAGGTTAATTATTTTCCCTTATCAGGACATGAGGTGTTTTTTTCCCCCTTTTTAACCTCTCTGGAGTTCATTTTAGTGCCTTCATCACATGGAGAACTCTTAAGAGCTATTATGAGATCTTTATTATTCACTTGTGGCTTTTTCCATTGGAGCTACTTGAAAGAAACTGCACGGCCATAATAATAGCTGCTATCCTAACCTGGTAATAGCAGATTCATCTTTGTTGCCTTGTGGGGCTTAGGAGTAGATTCTATAATAGTTCTGGTTTGAAGGAGCTCTTCAGACTGATAATAACTTAAAAGTCAAAGAGGCATTTTTAACAAATCACAGGTTTTATGGCACTCACTTCAATGTTCTTCTGGAAGCTCTAAATTACTATGAGAAAGGCAGGAATAGAAGGACTTTTCTCAGATCATAGAAGAATATTTACAAGTAAATGCTAGAATTCATATTTTTCTTCATTAAATATAAAATTTAAGTATTTTCAGATTCAAAATATGCAAGACAAATTAAGTGATTTGAGTAATCTGTGATATATTAAACTTATTTAAAATATTTTCTTCATACATTTACTTCATATAAAACAAAAATCTACTTTTAATATTTTATTCTCCTGTAATAGAAATAATATACTTCTTTTAAAACATTGTAGTATTTTAGACTAGACAGAGTTCTAAGATCCCTCCAGATTACCAAGTTAGTGTTTATAATAAGAAACGCATATTCTCTTTGGCTACAGAGATGGCTCAGTGGTTCCTAGCACTTCCTGTTCTTGCAGAGAGTTAGTGGCTCATAGTGGTTTGTAACATCAGTTCCAGGGCGTCTGATGCCCTTTTTTAGCCTGTATGAGCACAAGGCACACACGTGGTACACACACACACACACAGATGTACATGCAAACTTCATGATAATAAAATTAAACAAAAGCAAAGCAACAAAAAACAAGGCATTTTTACAGAAGTTAAGTCACCACTCCAAGATTAAAAAGCTATTGGAGATCCATACTGTGAGACAAAACATGTCCTGAGTCTTTGTGTGGGGCCACATCTGTCACTCTTTAGAGTAGAACTCATACAAATTTGAGAAATCAGTGTATAATATTGTTATATTCATTATTTTCCAAATTGAAAATACGTTTTTCCTGAAAAATAGATTTTAAAGTAGATTGTATGTAGATATGAGGAGATACATCAGAGGATAAGTACTAGTTTTCTCTCATGAGTTGTAGAGCTGTAGAGGAACCCATCTGAATGATTTGGGGTTTTAATGTTTTACTCTTCCATTCAGGGTTTGCCATTAATATCCAGTCTTTCTTTGTCTTACCCTTCCTGCTCCTTATTTTCAAGATTTTAAAAATATTTCTGATGGGAATTACTCTTATGATGACAAAGATTACTGTATGAGCTCTCTTATAGATTTAGAAAGTAATTCATGCATAAGCTATTTGTGTGCACTTTCCTCGGCACTATAAATTCATTAGCAAGACAACCAAGGCCAGTTTCTGTGCTTATAGTTAACTGGCATGAAATTTATAAACAGCTGAACAAATAAGTCTCTGTTGTGTCATATGGAATGTGTACTAATGTGTGAAAGATAAGGTGAGCGTGGACAGGCTGAGAGGAGAACACAGGTTTGTGCTTTGTATATGTGTCTGTGGATGGAATACCCCTCTCTAATGAGGTAGAATTCAAACAGACTGGGATAAAACTGGGAGTCATCTGTGGGAGTAGTGTGGAACCACTGTTTAGGAAAACAAAATAAATCTGAATATAGGTTTCTGAAAAATACTGATATCTTTTTTGCTTTTAATTTATTGCCTTCCCTTGATGATGCAGTAGCTTTACTTTGACTTGGCTTCTTCACATGTAAAATGAGATAAAAGCTGTCTTATCTGCTAGGCTTGCTGTTGAGATTGAGGAGATACACACATAGGGAATGATTAGGATTACATCTGAACAGAATACATATTCAGTGATTATTAATACAGCCTTATTGACAGTCCAGATTTGTGATTTGAAAAAGCAGATTGTAATAAAGCTTGTTGTTAAGTAGAATTATTTTCTGGATTATTTATGGCAATACATGAAGACTAGTGATACCATCTCTAAGTTACAACTCTCTTTTGACTTACTTTCTGGGGCAGTGGGGCTGATAAAATAAACATTTCAAATTTGCTTTCACACTCTAATTGCTCTTCTTATATGGGGAAATGGCTTTGCTACCTTAAACAGTTTTCTTATATGTGCATTTTGAATATACAAGTGTGATAAATTATATACATAGTAACATTTGATATCAAGGCCTTATATTGTAATGCAATTAGAAGAAAACTATTTTAAAAAGGTGTTTAATGGAATCACTAAAACACATAAAGGAAGAATAATAATTGCCTTGGCTCTAAGCTTTTTATATTTTTGTATTTTCATTTGCCAGTTGTTCTTTGTCATACTCAACATTAATGCATGAGTCATTGTTTCACAATTCCTGATTATATTTTGCATCTGTGGTCAACATTTGAATTATTAAGAGCAAAAACATAATAAAACCTCTTAACATTCATAATTTTATTGGGGCTTTGTGGAATATCCTTTCTTTGGTTATGATTCTTTTTCAACCATAGTTTTTCATGATTATGATGAAGGCCAACCTTGGAGCTTGCTGGTGTGCTTATTGGTGTCCTGTGGTAGTGAATCAGCTAACTTGAGGACGACTTTCTTCAGATGCTCTTTGTAGTTAAAATAATTTATACTGTTCATAAAGGTATAAACTTTATAATTAATTTTATGTTATATAAGTAAATGATCATGATTTTTAAGTTTCAGGACTTTAAATGAGCCCTTTTTCATTTGTGAAAGCATAGTATAGGGTTAGTATCATTATATTTTAAATGTTTTAAGTTTCATGAGTTAAGACATCATTGGTTTGCTTGTATTCTTTGATGTATACATTGCCAAGTACTCAGCATGACTTCTGCCAATCCTAAGCAAGTTAGCTGATTTTATGCATACTGTAGGCAGGCCTAATGCTCTAAGCCCTAGTGAATCCTGGTAGACTAGCACAGCAACATATCATGGTCTCATATATTCAAAGCAGAGGAATAAATCATGATACTACACAGTTGTATTAGTTGACTTATTGCTGTTTTGTGACCGTAGATAGGGAGGACCGCTGTTTAAAGCCATGTCATGGGTTCTCAAATCAGTCAGGCGTGAAGCCTTGTCATATGCCTCTGTAATTGTACCTCACCAGACTTCCTCTAACTAGTCATCTGGGGCTGTGCATTTTGTCTCAAACCCCCAGCTGGCCAGCATCTGACAGGAGCTTTCTCATCATGCTGTCAGTAATATGTTAACTAGGGTGTACATTTATAGGTTGTAGAAGCAGGTAAAAGGGATGCATCTCTTTAAAGCAGATGTCTAAATGGTAGCACCTTTTTGACCAACATACAGTTGGTAAGTATTATCCTCTTAATGATGTATGCACATCATTTACAGGGAATTGATTATATATGCATGATATTTCTGGAATATTTAGAGCAAGTGGTATGCTGTGAGTGCTGGAATTGTGTTAATAAACTGTGTGTCCTCTTTGTTATAGCTGCCCCCAGGCATTTAAGCATATGCTTTTCTCTCACCTTCTCATTAATTCCATCAAGGGCACATGCAGAAAGACATCTTGTGATCCCCAGAAAATCGGGTATTAAACAGTAGTTTTGATAGGCTTTGACTAAAGGGAGTCCAGAGCATTTTAACCTCCTTGTCTGCATTGTGCATCTTCATTTGTGTCTCTTAGTGGAGTCATGTGTACTTTCATTAGGCTGAAACTTAAAGCACAGAGACTCATTCAGGAGGTTAAGATTGAGCAGCCGATGGGAGAACAGTGCACCAAGTTTGCTTCTTGATTGAAGTTACTGAAGTGGTTTCGCCATGTGTTTTTAAGACTGCAGCAGAGAAATGCAGTTAAATTTTTTTATCTGGACTTTTCTTAGAGGTCCTTTAGGAACCATCTTTAAATTTTGCATCATCCTACAATCTATAGACTCTAATTAAGTTCCCTGAATCTGTGCATAACAACTCGCTTACCAGTGTATTATTTGACACATGTACACTGACATCCTTAACAGTACATTTTCAGTTATCCTTAAGGTGAATGTGACTAAGTGTGGAAACCGCTGTGTTGAGGTCCCTGTGACACGCTCTGCAGGAAGGTATGTGTGCAGGTTGGAGGAGGTGGAGGCCTTTAAAGAAAAAGTACCAGTGCCTCTATTTTCCCTCCCTCAGAGTTACCCCCTTTTTCATGGGAGTATGCCTGTTTTTCTGCCTAAGAGTGTAGCCCTTTTGTCTTTTGAAAGCGTACAGTAGCTTTTACTTCACACAGCAGAAGGTTTAGTGTGACAGCCATAGAGCTGTCTTAGAGTTACATTTAGTTGCCTTGCAGGTTCTCTCAGCTTTGCTCCTAGAATGCTGGTCATCACAAAATTAATTTTGGATTATTTCTGCTAACTGAATTATTTTCTATATCTGACTTAATTTTTGTGCTGTTGATTAAAAATGCACACATACCCTTTGGTTTAACTTCTATTCAAGATAACTTGCTTTCTGTATTTTATGTATTTGTATGCTTTGTAACATACACACACACACACACACAGCCCTGACAGAACATTATGAGACAAAGACCTTCCAAAGATGCCATTGAGGTTGTTTTATGTTGGCTGTGTACTGCTGGGCATTGGTATTTCCCTTAAGAATAGTATGTATTTCAGTGAGAAGATATTGGATAGTACTAAGTTTTCTTTTGCCGGA